GGGTGACCTCGCAAATCCTCATACAAACTCCAGAACTGACCCTTGGAGTCCCAGAGCCTCAAGATTGGGTGTACCCAATACCGACGTCTCCTGCGGGCTTGTTCTCTGCAGATTGCTGTAGCCAGCACCATCAACATGCCTGCAAATATGTGATACATGCCTGATCACCAGCTTTACATACACAAAGGGAAGTAGATGTTCCGAGAGGGCGGAAGTGACCTCAGAGGCTGAATCTGCATACTGACAGCCCCTTGGCTAAAAAAAAAAAAATGAACTGTCAGCATCCGGACCAAAAACGCATCAAAAACGCGTCAAAAACGCACTGCATCAGCAGCTCCACGTCTGCTGATCAGGACCTGATCTCTTGTGAACAGGCCCTAATGGTACCTCAAGATCGACAAAGGCGGGCCGATTTCTGAACTTGTTGCAAGACAATTTCTTGGAACAGATGGTGGAGGTTCCAACTAGGAAAAATGTCATCCTAGATTTAATAATTACTAATAATGGGGAATTAATTGAGGATATTGTAATTGGGGAGACACTGGGTAATAGTGATCACAATGTGATTTCTTTCAATATTAAATACAGGAAAGGAAAAAGGGCGAGATGGACAAGAACCCTTAATTTCAGAAGGGCCAACTTCGATAAGCTGAACAATTTTTTCTCCTCAGTATCCGCTCAGGAGGGAAACGGGATCGACGTACGTGATAAAACACATAGTTCAACCGATAATATACCGCAATGGTTGACAGAAAGCGGGATTGAACAAAGACTTCAATGCAAATAAAGCAGTGGGACCAGATAATCTTCACCCCAAGGTACTTAGGCAACTAAGCCAGGTTATAACAAGACCATTATTCCTAATTTTTAAGGAATCCTTAGTGACTGGTAGGGTACCATGTGATTGGCGGAGGGCTACGGTAGCTCCAATATTCAAAAAGGGGGCTAGATGCCAACCGGGGAACTATAGGCCGGTCAGTCTAACATCGGTAGTTTGTAAACTGTTAGAAGGTATAATTAAGGACTATTTGGTAAAATTGGTTAAGGATAATGGCATAGTTAATGACAATCAGCATGGGTTCAGGAAAGACTTTTCCTGCCTACTATTAATCCTTCAAATACTGTTCAGGGTTTAATTGACGGAAAAGTGCTGACGCTATGGTTTAAAAGAGTTAATCGTTTAAAAGTTGTGATAAATAATCAAATATTATTGGACAATTTGTATTTCCGTGCCAGCCCAGTGTGGGATGTCACTGGGATGTATCTCATGAATTATGCTAATTTGCCTTTGCTTAAAAATGTGTGCAATTCTTTTTTTTGGTGTAGTACGCTGGCTATCGTACTGCCCAACATATGTTGAATACACCTTAAGTATGTCAAGGACACAAATCTCTGTTCCTGGTTTTGCACGAAGTCTGGTATTCCTGCCAGGGCACCAGTTGAGAACCACGGGTCTAAAACACAGCAAAGCATAGGAAGACAGTTGCAGCACTTTAAGCTGTGCGCAATAAAGCGGCACCCAATTCATCGGCCACGCACACTTTTTAGGCATGGCCCATACATGTTCAGCAGGTGGTGGTTTTTTGTTAATATTTTTATTGAGGAACAAAGAGAAAAAAAAATAGTAACAAACATTAACCAATACCCATCATACAATGAGACAAATCTCAGCAAAAGTAACATACAGAAGGCATCGATGGAAGGGGGACACATCGGGGGAAAAAACACAGTCCGACACAAATAAGAAGAAAATACAGGGAAAGACAGTCAGACGAATGACAGCGGCCAACCAACATCTCAGGATCTTGGACCAACGGCCAATAGGCAAATAAAAATATAGGAAGTAGGAAAATGTTCATAACTGAATTGGAGGATAATCAGATAACAATTTAACGGTATATCAAGAGGTTAAAGCAAAACATTGAATGAGTTTTTGTTTCAATGAGACTGGTAAGGTATTAATAAAGTACTCCCAAACATCAAAAAATTTCCCTATTTTTGATTCCCTCTGGAGTGTTGTTTCATTCCAGTCCATTTGCAAAACAAACAACAATTTAGTTAAGAAAAGGGATAGAGACAGTGGCTCTGGGTATATCCATTGATGTAATATAGCTTTCTTTCCCACTAACAACATAACGGTCAATAATTTCCTGCAGTCCGCGGTGATCTTGGCCCCATGGAGTTGTAAAGTACCAAATAGGTGTCGTGTTTTACTTCTTGGACACCTTAAAACTGAAGCCCAGTTTGGAGAAAAAGAAGAGAAAGAACTGGTTCCCACAGATACCCAAAAAAGCAAATCTTTATTGTTTGTAAAATGCCAATCAAATCAAACCATATGACAAACATTGTAATATAGAAAAAAGTAACCCTTTATAAACCACCACCATTGGATTTCAAAATTCTGAGCCACATTGCCCCAGACAATTACACATACAAGGCACACGCATACACAGCGGTTCTAACTCCTAAGAAAATACAGCCTTACGTGAATTATTGTACAAATGTTAATCCAAGTCGGCTCTTAACTGAGTCCACATATACAGGCTGTGCGCTGATGTTTCAATTTAGAGTATATGTGAACAAATATATAGAGAAATGCTAATAAAGTTCATATTTTATTGTGACTTTTGTTGAGGGTTTTATGGTGCAGTCACATCATCACACAGCATCCCTTTATGTATTTTTTCAGCTAGCAGGTGGCAAGCAGCTCATTATGTCACACAGGGAAGGGGGGTGGGGGGGGGAGTAGTATTCCTCGCTGTAAGTTTCTAGTAAATATATATATACAACCATACCCCTACCTCTTAAAGGAGAACTATGTGGTCAGTGTTTTTTCCCATAGTTCCCCTCAGGGTCACGAGAGAACATAAACTAGCATCCTCCCGTGGCCCAAAGCTCAGTATATTGCGAGCTGCTTATCTAGAGGCAGAGCCAGCTGTACCCGCCCCCTCTCCCGTCCGTTCCGCCAGTCAGCGCTAGAGGATCGGAGCGGGGAATCCCTGCAGGGTGCCGTGAGTGACAGTCACGGCTCTCTGCTGGGACATGATCGAGAAGTGAGCGAGCGACGCTATGTGTTTGCTCACTTCCCAATCTATTGAGCCGACCTGTGAGAGTTTCATTGTCACAGGTCGGCTAGAACTAGGAGGATGAGTGATTTTCACTCACCTCATAGTTCTTTAATTATCAGATCCATGAAGGTTATAGTCACCGCTTAAATGCAGTTGGGATTAAAGAACAACTCCAGGCAAATATAATCTTAATCCTTGCAGTGGGGATACCCTCGCACTGCAAGAGTTTAGTGCTCATTGTGTCTAGGGAGCTAAAATAACAGAGTTGTACTCACCCAAACCACAATCCAGTCCCCTCAGCCTTGCTCCCCCTCCGTTTCAAAGGTCTAAGGTCCAGTGAGTCATCACATTCTATACAGTATATTAGACGTGAGGATGCCGAGGGACATTCCATCACCGGAGTTTAGGGGGAGCGAGGCTGAAGGGACTGGTCCAGGAGCCAGCCAGGATCGTGGTGCAGGTGAGTATAACTCTATTATACTCACGCAAACTCAGGCACCTCAGGAGGCATCTCTTTGGGTCACAGGGGAAGGGGCGTAGGCAGAGTGGCATGGCACGATGTTTGCAGTGTGCGTGCTGCCCCCTTTCCAACCAGAGTGTCCCAGATTGCTAAGAACTGGGTGGGGAGATGTGTAAGAACCGTACACATCTCCCCACCCAACTCTTGGCAACCTGGTATGCTCCGGCCGGTGTCCTGCCCTGTTTCCAGGAACTGAGCAGGATGCCGGCCAGAGAGTCTCAGGTTGCTAAGAGTCAAGCTCTGCAGATGGCAGGATGCAGCACCACAGCTGGGCCCCTTTCCCCTCAGGCGGCAAAAAGGCTAGGGACACCACTGACTTTTCCCAATACCAAACAAGGCTCCCTTCCAGTTCTAGCACTTGTGCTGATTCCTGTGATAGTGTGCCCCTCCCTCTGCATTCCTGTGACTTTGCGTGTGTCCAGAAAATAAAATGACAGTGAGATAAGAGCTGTAGGGCTGCAACAACTAATCAATTTAATTGATTATAATCGATGAGAATCGTTGTCAACGATTCTCATTATCGATTAGTTGGATTTGTCCACCCCCAGCCGCTCTGCTCCTCCTGGATGGGAACTGCTGCATGCTGCGGTCTGTGTTCACTTCCATTAGAGGGGACACAGGAGCACTGCAGCCGATTCCCACTGGAGAGTAGAGACCGTTGTGCTTCTGCATTTCCCCGCTGCTGTGCCCCGTTCCTCCTGCCATGCCCTGTGCCTTCACTGCTCCCCCCGGCCCCCTCTTCTGCCGGCGGTAGAAAGGCATGGAGTCTCCCATTCAGCGGCTGAGAGCAATAGCCAGTGTGCTATTGGCTATTTTAAATTGCAGTAGCCAATAGCAGGCACCTGCCCACTGCCTGATGGCAATCAGCAGAGGATGACCTGAAGAAGAAACACAAACCCCCCCCCCCCAACCCACTAGAGCATTCCCTGCCCTTTTGTAACGTATAGCTGTGGGGTGCAGAATGTGCCTCTTCGGGGGTGAAGCCAAGCTGAGCATCAATAATAACCAGGATTTATAGAATGAGAAAGCAGCGATGATAGTCGCCATGTTTCTCGGACGAAAGATTTCCGTTAAATGCCCAACCCTTCATAGTTCTTAGTTTCATTCATTGGAAACACAAAAGCAGCCGAGGCAAGTTGTGAAAAGAGGTGTTCATGTATACAACCAATATAACTGGTTATATTGGTGTATACACTATATATAAAATCGTCTTGTTTTTGTAAGCAAGCGGCATGTTTACAAAACACAAGACTATATAATAATACAGGTCGCGATAAAACGAGTCCATAAACATGCGACACCAGTCACCTCTCCGCCCACGTCACCTGTACTACTGCTGAGCGCCCTCTACAGCTCACAACGCACATCACCAACGTGGCTAGGAAACGGATGTGACGTCTAAACCTGCAGACGGCGCATTTCCCTTGACGGAAGCTGTGTGGCTCTCGGGCTCGGTTTGTTGGTGCTGCTGGTTAGAGCAAAACAGCCGCAAAGATGTCCATCGAGATTGAGTCCTCCGAGTAAGTATGTTAGGGCGGTGTGGATTGTGTGTGTGTGTCCTCGGCTGGTTCTGGAGGACTCGTCCACGACATGGCTGAGGCTGTAATCCGCTTTTTACGGGGCCCTCTCATTGAGAGGGTGACAGACATCTGTAGTATGTGGTACCATGTTTTTTTTTATAATGGTTAGGGATAAGCAACGTTTGAAACATTTCCTTATTCTGAAATTTCGGTCACAAAAAGGAATTGTTGCCATTTTTGATAAAACACGTTGGTATAAATAGGGAAGGCAAAATTTAGCTATGTAAACTGTAAAGTTTTATAAAAAAAAAAGTCTGTAGTGCCTGCTGGTTCTAAGTGTTAAAGGAGAACTATGGGGTCAGGGCTTTACCCCATAGTTTTCCTAAGGGTCACGGGAGAACACAAACTAGCGTTCTCCCGTGACCCAAAGCTCAGTATACCGCGAGCTGGTATACTGAGACGCTGCATCCGGGACAGATCCCGACAATACTGTCTGGATCCACCCAGCTGCGGGATTGACAGCTGGCTCTGCCTATTTAGAGGCAAAGCCAGCTCCCCCGTCCGTTACGCCAGTCAGCGCTGGAGGATCGGGGGGGGGGGGCCCCTGAGGGGGGCCGG